CACACACACACACAAACAGCACACTCGATTGGATGTACTGCACTTCAGTCATCACTTGTGATTATTTCATGTCATACCTGATGGCATTACATGATATTTTCTATGAATCTAGACAGGGGATGAGTGTGTCAACACAATTTAAGTCAGAACTCACTTTTTAGAACTTGAGAAAAAAAAAATCATTAAAGTACCCTGCAAACTGCTACTTACCAAAATTGGTTTTGACTTGTTTAAATTATGTCTGTTTATTGGTTTTGACTTTTGAAATGATGTTTACGAGGATCGGAATAATATAGACGTACACTTAATAGGCTAATGGCAGTCTGTCATCTCTGTAATTGTTATGCGATCACATTTAATACAGAGCTAACGAAACACATGATTAGCGCACGGTAAAATGAAGGAAAAACAAATCAAGGATGTCACTTTGCCTTTCTGGTGCCAATCACTGCGATCAGGTGAAACTGAAGGTAGGCAAAAACACCTTTCATCGACTGACTCTACACACAAATGTACTAATAGTTTCCTGACCACAACTTTGGATGAAAAAGCAAAGGTGAGACCACATGAATCATCCCTGTTTGGGCTGAAACACTTCTGGTCCCAGTTATCGGCACTTTTCTGCTCACAGAAAGTGAATTATCAGAACTAAGCAGCAATAAACACTCTGTTTACACCATCTTCAGCCTTTGTGGTCCCTCCAATTCTCTCTGGTAGAACACATGGCTTCCTTTGGGAAGTAAAGATGATTGTTGTACGTGCAGTTTGCTGACATGTTACATCATTCTGGGAGCTGCTCTTCAAATTCATCAAACTCTTTCCTTTTATATATACTGCCTTCTGTGTCGATTTCTTTCCCCACAACTTAAATTCCACAACTTTTGACTCCATCAAGATAGATGACTTTTCCCTCCAGATTTTAAAATAGCTCTCTCTATATATATGTCGTTAACTGATTTTAAAAGCCAACATGTATTTCATACAATCCTACCTTGATCCTCCCACGCAACCCTCCTAGTATAACCCTTCAATTCATCAATATGATAGACAGAGGCCATTACCTGGGCAATGAGTCCCTTACGGCTCCTTCGGGCGTAGTGGAAGCGCTTGATAAAGAGCGCCAGGAACTGCCTCCTGATCAGCTTCCATCCGGTGATGACTGTGGATCCCTTCCCACTGACACTGGCGATCTTCTGCACGTCTGGAGTGGACATTAACCCACCGTGTTATTTATCATCTATGCATATGTAAAAGAGCTGCTGAGCACGCTTTCCAGCACAGCTAATGGGCTGATTAAATATAACTTAAGTGTTAAACCTGCCAGCTGCACTAGCGCATTCCTCTGTGAAGCGCTTACTTTTTTTAACATATGAATTTGGAAATGATATTTGGGTGTGGCTCAGTAGGGAAAAGGTGATAAACAAGGGCTTTGCACACACCTCACACTCTCCAAGAATACCGCACTATATTTTCACAGTAGTCATTAAGATAATTCGGATTGAAAGGTATTTTCATGATGAAACACATTGTATGAAAGTGAATTTCTTTCATAAGGGCAAAATTGAAAAAAGGTGAACAGACAGCTCAGATAATGTTGTATGGATTTGAAGGAAACTCTGTTTGAAAATGACTTTTACTGAAGAAAGGGCTCTTGTTTATGCCCTCTTTTCAATACGGCCACTGAGGTGAAACAGTCGAATTGAAGCAAAACCAAATGAAGTTAATAAATACAGCACCTACCTTCTACTTTGCTTGTGAACCTCTCCTTCAAATCTGCACGAGAAACAGAAGGAAACAAGTCTCAAGCAGAAATTATAGTTAATTTTTTTACTATTTGAAATAACACCCATAAATATTAATAATCAGTCAACTTTCTGCATTGTTAAACTTACAAACGTTTAATTGGGCTTCCTTCATTAAAAAAAATAAATGTATGATAAATTTGGAGAGACTTGCCACTCATTTCAGAGACGTGTTCTGTTTTAATGTGGACGCTGGCGATGCTGTTCCGCTTGGATGCGCAGGAGCTTCTTTTGCAGTCTCTCACCAACAGCTCCTTTGTTGCTGTGGGAATACAAATAAGATATGTTGTTTTGGCCTGACCCAATTTAGGGTTATAAATAACAATAAGAATACCTGCCCTGCAAGGCGCCATATTATTCCCTGTAAAAGCAGAAACCCAGGTGTTTTAGGAACGTGAGGGAATCAGATTTTGAGATTAAACTGAAAAGTGAAGTTGTTTGATGAGAGACGCAAACAAAAGGGCTGCATTAAGAGAGTCGCATTATCCACTGAAGTCAGTCAATGAGAAATAAGAATTGGTTAGAAAACACAATATCATTTTGTATAAAAATACATACAATGTGAGTTTACAGGGGTAAGACAAGCACCAAGAAAGAAAGACACTACTGCAAACACAAAGGTGACACATATTGTCTTACACCGGCTGTTAACATTCAACATGAGACTGTTGCTATTAGCATTTTAAATCCTTTTTCTTGTCCTTTTTTTGTTTTGTTTTTGTTCTATTCAACCAATGTACCTGCGGTGTAGACATGAGCTAGGGTTAGTTGTCTCAGATATCAAATAACTGCAGATTTTTCTCATACTTCTTTTACAGCTGACAAATGGCACTACCTAGCATCATTGCTAAATGTTGAACGGCCTTGTGCGACAGATTCTGTCTCCAAGGAATCTAACTGTAAAGTGCAGAATTGAGAGGTTAATTATTTTTTCTTACAGCAAGGTGTTACTAAGGTGTCAATAGCTATGTCACCAATGGTGATAATGATGAGTGGTTCCCAAAAGATGGTGTCTATTATGCTGTTTACCCCCTAACATGTGTAAGCATGCATACATATTGTCACCTTACTTGGTATTTCGGCATCCACTCCCGTATCTTCTGCCACTTTAAGAAATATCTGTGAAATGAACAAAATATATATGAATAAAGTATGTTATGAGAGCTACAATGTGTTTGCTGTCGCCCTTATAAGCATGCACACAAGCAGGGTAAATGCAGACTAATGAAGTGCAGTGGATGAGTGTTAACTAAACTTTACACAGATTTGATGCAGATGCCAGTTATCCCTGTCAAGTTTTTGCCTAGAATCTGATCGGGGCGGGTACATCCACAGAGACCCTAACCTCTACTTGAGCACCTGCCAATTGGCCTCTCTTAGAGAAGTGCCCTCCTTGACTTCATTTATTAATTCAGGCCATATGTCAAAATAAATAAATTTCCATATTTGTGAAATATTTCCAAGTGACCTTCGCTTATTTCGTTTTGCTGTGCGTGTTGAGCCCCTGTTTCAACATCTGCCCTCTAAAAAGTCTCTGCATACTTTGGGGGAAAACCTGCAAAATTCATAATTTGTACTGAATGTGATTTCATGTGGTGAGTTATATCAGCCAAAAACACACCAAATAGAACTACCGACATCGTAAAAACACTCACAAATACAGCTACTACTTGTAATATGAGTAAATTCAAACATCCAGCAGGACTTGTTTATTAGTGTCGTTTATATAAAATCATACCGTATTTCAATTGAAATGTAGTTGGACTTCAAAAGAAAAAAATGGATGGATGAAATAACCTTGTTGTGTCTGAATTTTAGAAATTCAAAAGGAATTATTTACATTGCCTGCAGGCCATGAGTGTCTGATTCATGTCTCGTTTACACGAAGAGCATTAACCAACAGTCACTCAACTTTATGATCCAGACTAGTCTGGAAGCCAAACATACTTTGCAAATCATTTACTTTGTGGTTTTATTATCTATTGTCCTATATGTATAATGAGAACAATCACAATACTACTACTAATATTAGTGGTAGTAGTACACTGGGTGAATGCTTATGGAGAAAATTATTGGTTAAAGAATGAACATGGTGCAAGCAGTTGACACATACATTGTGTAAAATGTACATATTATAGTTGCTATTATAGTTGAGAGAACAGTTCTGGTTGAAAAGTATTAAACATGACATAACATGTCTCAATTTACTGTTCATCCAAATTCTGTTACATACTAAAAACATGTTTGCTCTAGAATCAGGCATACCTTTAAGCTTTCAATATAAGCCAGCATAATTGGTAAAAATGTGGATTTTGTGTGTAACATATTTATAAAGCCTCTAGATGCTGTGTGTGACATTCATTCAAAAGTGAAGCAACCTTGAAGCAAAATAATGCTTGGCATCCCAACTATCCTAGCCTAAGTGAAAAAAACAAACTTGGCAGTGAGACAGAATCTGAGGGGGGGAACATATAGTTTTAAAGTTATTGGCTACAATGTAAAGTTGCTTGTAATAATGCTACCATCTTAGTAACTTGTGTTTCCTGAGTTATGAGAGGGATTTAAAAGCTGTCCACCAAACTTCTGACTGCTTACTTACAGACTCTGAGAAGCAGAAAAAGTCTAAAAGTAGTCAAGGAGGGAAGAGGAGGATGGAAAAAAAAAACAGTAAGCATTGTGTCAAGTGTAATTGCAGCAATAACAAAAGCAAAAGAAGAAAAGAAAGAAAAGAAACTCAGGGACAACTTTGTCTGTGTATGTAGGCTGTCTCTCTATGTGTGTGCATGCTTTTATCCCTCTAGCTAGGTTGTCAATCCCACGCTCAGTGTACCTCTTCCAGCGTGGTGTCAGAGATGCCGTAGCTGGTCAGGCCGAGGTCAGCCATGGCCAGGTCGAGCTCTTGGAAGAGCAGGGCAAAGGTCCCATTTCTGGCTCCACTATAAGGCAGTATGTAGGTGATCTCCTGACCGATGCTCTCCAAGAAGACCGCCTCGGGGATGTGGTGCCGCACAAGTTGACCCACAGCTGTCAAATCTGCCGGACAGACAGCCGCACAAAAATGTATCAACAACAAACTCCAAAGGATGGTAAAACTGCGGGCACAAAAAACAACAGACATTTGTGGAAAAAACATATCTCTGTCCTTCCTTTTATGTCTCCTTTGTCTTTTTCGGTGAAGATGTTTGTTTGTGTGACAGACGAACGGACAGAGAATTCAAGAGCAACCACCGCTATTGGCTGCAAAAGAATACAGTATATAAATGATGGAGGCTTTAACCCAAACTTGTGTCTAAACTTAACTTAAAAATCTTTCAAAGTGAAACGCTGAAAAATGGCAGCGTAATATATTGAGATCTCAACATACCTGATGCTGTGACCTTTAAACATACTGAAACAGATCAGTGGACATAATTCTCCTGCCTCATCCATTCTGAAGCTGGGTCTTAGTGAGAATCAATCAGGACAGTGTTGCAGAACGCACCGCATCCATTATTGATCCAGAACCTCTCATACATAATTACTGCAGCTTAACAACCAGCGGCTTGGTGCTTTATGAAGAAGTAAATGGATCAGTTTCACACATCAGACTGAATTATTTGTGAAAATGTGTGTGTGTGTGTTTCTGTCTGTGAGGTAATAAAGAGAAATGTGCTGTCACTTCTGGAAATATGATTACTTCTATGGCTTTTTATATCATATATTTAACCATCGTGTGTATAATTATTTTGAAGGTACGCGCAGGTTTGATTGATGTCCCATGCATAATAAACTGGAGCCTACTTGAGAGTTTTCTTCTGATCATGTCTTGCACAAGTACTTTTGTTTACATGATCAAGGCTAAGAATGATCAAAACAAATCAGCAGCATCATATGTTTTAGTCAGGCAATATCTGTTCGGGTTTATGATCCAGAAAAACTGAGGCAGGGTCAAGGAAACCAAAGTAAAATTCCACAAAGTCGGGGAGAGCTGTATATATAATTTTCTGTAGGTTCATTGTGAGAAAACCCTTTCAAAATGCTACAGTTTTTTCTCAATGCCATGATGTATTGTTTTTATTAATATTATAGCTGCTTTAAGCTGCTGCTGAACTTTTAGGATGTATGATAGGACAATAATAATAAAAATGTTGAAGTATCAGTTGGTTTAGAATAAAAGGGTCGATTGTATATGAAGATTTATGTTTAACATTTATGTTTTCTGTACATAAAGTAAGCGAACACGAAATTAAGATAATGATGTCCTTGTATTGTGTGCTTGGTAAATGAGTAATGGAATTTTTGTGATTGTTGTTGTTAGGTTTGTGTGTTTTCTGTATATGACGTGATGTTGTGATGCTGAAAAAGTTTACTACATTAGTCAGGCATAGGATGGGTTGCTTTGCTCTGTCTCATCATAATGAAAAACACTCTCAAATGTAACAAATACTAGTTTACAGAACATGTTATATTGAATTTGAAGGACAAACCATGCAGCTATCAATTATGGGAGTGAATGTTTGGGCTCAATGCTTCTAGTGAAGACCACCAATCTCTTGAAGTGTGGGCAATAGTCACCAAAGACGGTCCTTCTCAGGGATGTTCTATCAGCAGTGCTGAGGAGCAAGCCCAAGTAATAAGATAACATATATTTTGCAGGGCATTTTTCAGAATTTCTGAAATATTATGTTCATAATACACCACCATAGATGTATGCTCATGCTTATTGCTTTCCATATTGTCTCCTAGTTTTTCTGCACTCATAAAGCTCTCCTAAGCTTTTTCTCGGCTAAAAACTCATACTTTCCCATTTATACCGACCATTTGACAAGGGCATTAAAGTGCACTCTACCAGTAGTTAGAACATTTCAACAGCATCTCGAGGCTGCAGCTACTTTACTACTCCTATGGTGTCTGTTGGTTTGTTATTGAAAAGGTGAAAAGAAAAATCTATGAGCTAATGGATGTCCAGCACACTTGGACTATACTATTTTGAGAGGTTTTATGGTTATTGTTTTGGATATGTTCCCAGACTGTTTGAAGAAAACTGACATGGCTCTGAGCTTCAGTACCTAACTTGGTGAGTGTTATGGTAACTTACAAATTTTACCAGAGGTTTTATTTGAATAGGTCATAAAATAATTTTTCAGTATCGGTTAAAATATGCACACAAATATTCACAGAATTTGTAACTCAAAACCAACTATGTAACATTTTCATATAGCATAAGTCTACATGTTAAGTCAGGTGCTAATCCTAAAACACTGCTGGCAGTAACAGAGATAAAGTTTCTACCTGAGGGATCAGTGTTGCTCCAGGTTTGGCTGCCGATGCCATCATCCAAGCTGCTTCTCCTTGAAGGACAGTCTTTCTCCTGTTAATCAGAATTGGATTAGAAAGACCTTATCATTCCTTAGCGCTTAGCACAACTCCTCTCTTACAATAATGGAATAATGGAAGACATCCACAAGTTTATATTTAATTGCTCTAAATAAAACTCTATGCATGAGACGACAGGTAATGTGGTAAACTTGTAATGTAACATGAAGTCACAATCTTTTCAGTCTGAGACGTTGCACGGAGATTATATTTTCAAGGTTGAATAAACCTCACTGCATTTGGGCAGAACTTGATGACATTTATTAAATGGAGTTTAATCACACTGAATGAGATCAGGACGATCAAACTTTGCCTAGCTCTGTTTCCGAGTTATATCGGCTGTGTAATTGCAAAATCTTCCACAGAATTACAAAGTCGTCATCTTGAAAAGGAGGCACTATTCTACCTCGCCCACAAAGATGTTTGCATGTTTATTTATTTATTTCAAACAAATGACTCTGCTCACCTCAAAGAGCCTGCAGACTAATGGTAATTGCTCTAGCCCTGCTGGCATCAGTGCATCTTGTTCATTTGCTCCTATTGATTAAAACTAAGTGTGCGAGGCACCATTGGCGAGCAAAAGTGAGAATCCCCCCTCTCCCCGGTGACGATTAGTATCATCCAGCACGTAGGCATTTGCCAATTCTCATGCTGGGAGAGACTAAACACAGATCATTATAGGGGAGGGCGGCAAGAGAGAAAGAGAGCACTCAGGAAAGTCAGAAGGGGCCATGTTCAATAATAGACTAGAAGGAGGTTACTTTTGTGTCAAAAGGGCTTGCAGCTGAAGCTCTTTTCTTGATACATGAAGTCAAAAAGAGTGATCCCCTTCCAGTTATTCTAATAAGGATAAAAATACGGGTAATTGCATAATTGCATGTCCTAATCAATCAAATTTGTAGTTATCTAAAGATAATGAGATCACACTGCCAATGTTGTCTCTCAACAGCCATGAGCACTAATAAAATAACCTTAAGGATACCAAAACAATGTTTTTTATAACAAGCTATTTTCTTCCATTTAGCTAAAGAAGTCCAACTTCTCTCTTGTTAAAAAAAAAACAGGAGCTGTATAATAATAAATACATACCTATATATATAAATCAAATATATTACTCAGTGCTCATTTTGGTTGAGTGTCTTATTTTAAAACAGACTAATAAAGTAACTGAGCCCATATGGCCAACAATAGAATACAAATCCAGGCAAAGAGCTGCTTTGTAAGTGAACAAAAAAGTAGAATATGAGCGGACAGCTTTTAATCAGCTCATTTTAGAAAAGGGCATAAATGCTAAAGCATTTCTTGTAAAATGAAGGTTCAAAAGCCAGACACCACATACGCTTTATATTCGTACCTCTTTGGCCTGACTGTGTATGATACCATTACGCTGAGCCGTCATCTTTTCAGTCCCATCTCGGACCAGAGTGAGGTAGTAGCCGCTGCCGAAACATTTTTTTAGGAAGAGTGAGGAGCCACAGCAACGCATCTTGCCATGGGAGATGATGGCAATGCGATCGCCTAAGATGTCTGCCTCATCCATGTGGTGTGTAGACAGAATGATGGTGCGACCTGAGGACAGAAAGAGAAACTCAATCGATGGTACCTGAGTGTGTGCTTGGTTTCTGAGGTAGTTTGTGTTTCAGTCATAGACAGTTTGTCTGAAGTAAAAAATAAAAACACTAGAAATTATAAAATAAATGGCACTTCTGAAGCCTTTTTCTCTTTAGACCTTGTTTGTTTTGACAACTGTCGTTATGAAAGAGACGCCTGACAAGAAAAGATGCCACAGATCAAAAAGTGTTCAAATCAAGCCAATATCACAATCTGTCTCTGCACTTATCTCCTTATTGCCGATTCCACTGTGTTCTACCCCTGCTTATCCGCATGGCAACAAAGCAAACTCTAGAGGAGTGTGTGGGTGTGAATGTGGGACAAAATCTAAATTATGATAAAGGCCACCCTAAGCCTACTTTCCAGCGTTTCTGTGAGACCACATTTTATTTGAGCTCTCCCTTTTGTGCTACGAGTCCTTTGATTCGAGAGACATTGAGCTGAGCACAATTGCAATGACAACTACAGCATGCATTGCAAGGTTATTCACAGGTGTTCTAATCCTTTCATGTCATGCTGCATCAGATAACACATATTAATTATCACATACCCCAGAAATCAGAAAAGGGACTAGATTTGTAATGAAGTCACATGGTCATGCCTCTGCAGTCGGCATTAAAGCAGTATCACAAAGTACTGTGTAACTTTTGATCGAGTCATGTTTTAAAGCAGAAAACATTTAACCCCATGCCTTTGCTTTTAGGTGACAAAGGAAGAAACCTGCTTAGAATTATTATTTTGAAGTTATTTTGAAAATACTGTGCTAGCTCAAGAGAATTATTTTTTTCTTTTACAATCAGCAAGGGAAAAAGTCAGTAAACTGGATTTTTTTTTTTTTAGCCATGCTAGTGGTATGACTCCATGGCTGGCAATGCCGGTCTTTTGGGCGGTTTTGTCAGTCCAGCACATAACTATTGCATGGATGAATCCTAATTCCTGTAACACGGCCACCATGAGTATAATGGTGTAATTGTAATAATTTCCATACCCTTAACTTTTCCTCTAGCGCCATTATCAGGTCAAAATGTCAATTTGTTCTATAGTTTGGTTGCAAAACCAAAGAAACCTCCATCAGCCTCAGTTGTATTTTGTGGTTTATGCTACTGTTAGCAAATTTGCTAACAGTATATGTTAGCATGCTAACATACCAAACTAAGATGGTGAACGTGGTAGACATTGTACCTTCTTAAAGGATAGGTTCACAGTTTTTCAAGTCTGCCTTAGAACAATAGTCACGTGCCCATATGTATATTTTAACAGGTTTTGCTTGCTCTAATCATTCCTCCTGTTCACACTGGATCCATTTTTAATATGCTTTCAATGTAAGAGATAAAAAATCTACATCTCTAAGTTGTGCAAAAATATATTCCAAAGTGTATTTGAAGCTAATATGAGGCTTTAACATCAGCTTTGTCATTGTAAGCATGTTAGCCTGCTGACATTAGCATTTAGCTCAAAGCGCTGCTATGCCTCTCAGTGCCGATAGCATGGCTGTAGCTGTAACTCCCGACAGACATGTGCCCCATATCAGGCATATTGATCTCTGAACATGTCAAGGAGATGCACTCGCAGTAAGTAGCTGACTCTATGAAGTTTTCACCCTTTCTTCACTGAATTTTCTGGAGTTTATTGTAAAAGGTCAGGTGCTCTGCTGAGCTTGGCGGCGTTTTTGCACTGAGCTAGTTAAATCTGTATCCTCGCAGGTCACATTATCCCAGGGACAAGGACACACTCAGAGGTCATTAACTGCAGCCCAGTGCAGTCATTTTGCTTGGCCAACTATTTCCGCTCTGCCTCCCCTCACCCCCCTCTTTTTTTTGCCCTGCCACCAGCTGAGCTGCTAAATCTCTCCCTTCTTAGTTAAGTATTGCTGCCTTATGCTATGCCAAGCAAGTCTGGATCCCTCTATATAAAAACTCCAACAAAATGCCCAAGTTGAATGAATGCCCACAACGCAGTCAATTTAACATATGGGAGAAAAGGCTATGCTTATGAAGAGGGGGTGGATTGAGGAGATTGCTGGAGGTTTAGTTTGACTGAGCCAGCTCATTTTGTATGAAATGCTTAAACTCAGATGATTTTCCTGTGGATCTGTTGTGGTTTACAAGGAGGCAAAAAAAAAATCAAA